TGCTGGGACCATTCGGCTGTGGTGTTGAGACGTTCGGGTCGTGGGCCTGAGACGTTCGGCATTTTTTCGACATGTTCGATTCATGACGAGATGCGAAAGCAAGCTGAGAATTGCAAATATATGTGTGTAAACAGACACGACAAAATTTTGTATCAATTCTTATTTTCCGAAACCGTTTTGAGTTGGTTTTGAGTTTCGTTTCCAGGTTACGTAAATGTGTGTGTGCCATGTATTCACACATACTGTGCTTGTGTGTGGGCTCTACAATTTTTGGCCGCTTGAATTGGTTTTACGTTTTGTTTTGAGGGCTGATGTGATGTAGCGACCTTCAACCCTGATTCTGGCCCTGGGCAACCATCAATCCTTTATTTTGTATTTTTCTCAGTGGCTATACAAATGTAAAAATATTTTATGAACGTTTGTTTATTCAACAACATCTGTCTAGTCGAGCTACAGAACACACCATGAAAATATGAAGTCCTAAGACGGGACCAGGACCTAGCCGGATTAGGAGTTGCCTAGGGCCTCCTAGGGATTACAGAAAAATTTTGTTGAAAAAACAAAACTCCAAATAATGAATAAAAATATAATAGCCACTGAGAAAAATACAAAATAAAGGATTGATGGTTGCCCAGGCTGGTTGAGGGTTGATCCGGCCCCTAATAGGTCGCTACATCACATCAGCCCTCAAAACAAAAACGTAAAACCAATTCAAGCGGCCAAAAAAAGTAGAGCCCAACACACAAGCACAGTATGGTGAATACATGGCACACACACATTTACGTAACCTGGAAACGAAACTCAAAACCAACTCAAAACGGTTTCGGAAAATAAGAATTGATACAAAATTTTGTCGTGTCTGTTTACACACATACATTTGCAATTCTCAGCTTGCTTTCGCATCTCGTCATGAATCGAACATGTCGAAAAAATGCCGAACGTCTCAGGCCCACGACCCAACGTCTCAGCACCACAGCCCGGGTCCCGCACCCTAGCCGAAGACCTGGGGGTGCTGGGACAGAACACTCAGCTTGCGCCCCTTTTGTTGTATGAACTGGCACATCTATATACTGTATGGTTAGTGCCGGTACTCAGTTCCGAGAAAAAGCCATTCGATACATACTAGAAAAGCAACCGATGGTATTTTCCCATCTCGATCGGAACATTGAAAATTTTCAATTTCCGTCGTCTAATGACATGACACAAAAACACACACAACACACACACATTAAATATGGAAGGAAACAAGTGCAAGCCAGCTAAAAAGTGCAATAATGAAGATAAATTAAATTTAATTAGGGAGTCGAATGAATACCGATTGTATGGATATTATTATTTATTAATTTTATACCCGGTACTCATTTTAATCTTTAAAAAGGAGATTAAAACCATGTTGATTGCATATCTTTCCTGCAGGATCGGATTTATTCAATAGTGCCGTGTGCATTATCGCCCTCCAGCTCCACAGCGCCCACAAATAAGACATTTCTGCTTACTTTAGCAAAACATTTGAAATTCAAACAGATTTCTGTTTGTAAACAAACACCAAACAGTGTAACCGTAGAGCATACATTTTGCCAACTTAGATCACTCTAGGAACCGAGCGGAATATATAGCACTTTCGGTCGACTGAAAATTTAGCGCGTCTGAGTACTAGGCTTTAGGCCCAACATGTTCGAAAAATGTGTTATTTTTTTTAATACCTTCAATTCCTTAAAATACTAAAAAATACTGCAGCTTGAAATCTTAATGATTCTCAGCGGGAGCTAGGAATTGATTTTCGAAATTTAGAAATCTAGACATTTTTATTTCGGCGATAAATATATGAAAGTGAAAACCGGAGCTTGTCTGAAAGTTTTATATTTAGAGATCATCAGTCATAATAAATGATTAAATAGAAAAAAATCTACAATATTAGCTGTGCGTGTTGGAAGATATAATTTTAGCAGAAATAGTGCCACAGCTCTCCGATTGATAGAAATGTGGATAAAAGCACTAATTTAGAGGTTATTTTCATGCTATCGTTGTCTTTCAGACCATATTGGTATTGAAGTGTATAGAATTAATGTTTCATTCTCTGTTAAATATTATTAACTTTTTAATGGAAATGAAATAATTGACATTGTATAACTTAAAGGTGCCAAGGCTAATAGAAAGAATCACAATATAGCGATATTTTTCAGTGTTTTATTTTTTAATGGGGAAATATATATTCAATAAAAATCTTTGCAAATAAATACTAGTTGGTAGAATACCACTATTATTTGTACTCTGCACGCATCTACAAAATACTTACATACATATGCTAGCATATTTATTATATTTATTCTTTGATATATGTTACGCATATTTTAAAATGTTTCAACAGTCTTTTAAATATTATAAAGCAAAATGTGCAAAACCAGATCTAAGCAATGTAATTGACTTTGATCACTATGGCAATGAGGTTACGGTGACAGAACAACGGATTTTACCAAATAGTATGAGTGTACTCAAATATGTATGTATTTATGCACGTACATATATTGGAGAATTTTGGTTTTTTTCGAATTTTTATACCGGTATATTGTATTTGTGGTAAAAGTGGATGTCTGTCTGTCTTGATGAGCGCCTGGATCTCAGAGACTATAAGTGCTAGGGAAACCATATTTGGTTTCTAGACTCATGTGATATCACACGTCTACCAGTGTATTTCAAAATTTTCTCTTTTTCTCTTTCTCGCTCGCACACTCTGCCGCGTTCAGTGCGCGAGCAACCCCCGCCCACGGGACGGAGAGGACAAAACAACAAACAGCGAGCAAGAGCGGCCCCAAGCGACCACGCGCCCGTTTTTGGTGGCTATTTTACTTTTAAACTAAAATTTTATATAATTTTAGTTTCTCTTATTATTTATAGCCTTTTTGAGCCATTCTTGCATCGATTCGAACAGTTTTACTGATCTATGGCCTAATTTTCTCCCACACCTCTGTAAGTGCTGTTTTTAAAGCCTAATACTCAGATCCAAAAACTGTTTGCCAGCAAATAAATGTCATATATTCTTCGAGCGGCCAGTTTGTGACCAGAGGTGTGCACTGCATTCCGAACGGTTACTCTGCTCAGACAGCTGCTTGGTTTTGTTTAAAGTTAATAAAATGCACTTCTTCGGCTGGGGTCGCTCTTCCCCAGGCATATCCTGGGCTCCCCAATATTTTACTGGCAAGGTAATGTGTCTGACTACACTACTCGACAAAATTGAACTTTTTATTTAGGCTGTGAATCATAATGACTTTCTGATAGATTTCGGGATTTAAAAATTTTTGTAGTACCTTATTATTTTTTTATAGTGTAATTTTTTTTTTAAGAATTTTTAAAATCTGGTATTTTTTTTAGAGGTTGTGCTTCTATTTTTCACATAACTTAAGTATCTTATATCTGGTTGCATAGACCTTTGCAGTTCTGAAAAGCTTTCAAATGCAGCTATAAATCCGACCCAGGCCTTTTGTATCTGCAGCTTAACGTATCTTTAATGCTGAAAGATATTAAGCTTTCAGATTTTATTATTTTTTTCCCAAAATTTTGACTTTAAAAACTCGGGAAAAGTCGAAAGAAAAATAATTCTTGGCCAACATTTTTAGTTTTAGATAGACGCATTAATTAGGCGTCGTTTAAGGTATTGTTCTTTTAAATCTATGGATAAACGGTGGAGCTAAAATTCGTTAACCAAACCTCAAAAGTGAAAAATAGACAAAAAATACTTTTTGGAAGGTTGCGGGCCCAACTGCCAATTGGAAACAAAGCAAACGAAAAGGGGTTCAATTTTTGGTAAAAAGTATTTTTTGTCTATTTTTTTTTTTGGAGGAACATCATTAAGTGAGGGCACTTTTAAATTGGCCAATTCCGAGCAATTCCCGATTTACGGTTAGGGTCGTTCACCTGGTAAAATCAAATACCATCTTGTATACCGAGTTTTCCAATATGTGAAAAATATTTAAAGAAGTTTTTTTTATGTATCGATAGGTAACACGCCTTGTCCATGTTTCCATCAAAGAAATCCAAATTCCCAACACCAGCGGCTGACATATGGGCCAAAATATGTCCCATGATTTCCTCCATGCATATCTGCAGCGATTAGGTTCTTCGTTATAAGCTCTGTATTCTGTTTTCTCCAGACATATGTATTAATTCGGAGTCAAAAACCATTAACGAGTCAATCTTTAAACTTTTTGGCTCTTTTAACGCATTTGCACCAATAACTACCAACCAAATGTAAAATACTTAACCTTCTAGTGACCAAATTTTTTTTTCCCCAAAAAAATTGTTTTTGGATTCATTATGTCTTAAACCATAACCATAACCACTAACCATACAGTATGTAGATGTGCCAGTTCATACAACGAAAGGGGCGCAGCTGAGTTTGCAGCGTACGTTCCCAGATCTTCGGCTTTGGGAATGGCTGCGTTGGGCTCATGACGTCACACGAGCCGACTGGCAGCAAGCATGCATGTGTTGTGTACGTGTACACTCCAAAATATATGATTGTATGCATAGAATAATTTTTAGCTGCCGAAACCGACTTTGTTCGAGATTTCAGTTTACGTAAACGTGTGTGTGCCATGTATTCACACATACTGTGCTTGTGTGTGGGCACGTGGTTGCCCAGGGCCCGGTTGAGGATTGATCCGGCCCTGAATAGGTCGCTACATCACATCAGCCCTCAAAACAAAACGTAAAACCAATTCAAGCGGCCAAAAATTGTAGAGCCCACACACAAGCACAGTATGTGTGAATACATGGCACACACACGTTTACGTAAACTGAAATCTCGAACAAAGTCGGTTTCGGCAGCTAAAAATTATTCTATGCATACAATCATATATTTTGGAGTGTACACGTACACAAGACATGCATGCTTGCTGCCAGTCGGCTCGTGTGACGTCATGAGCCCAACGCGGCCATTCCCAAAGCCGAAGATCTGGGAACGTACGCTGCAAACTCAGCTGCGCCCCTTTCGTTGTATGAACTGGCACATCTTTATATTGTATGGTTAGTGCTTAAATGTAAATGTTTGTTCTGGAAAAAATTTTACTTTCGCACGAATCGGGTTTTATAGGACCAAAACTATGGACCGCCTACAGGCGGCTTTGGGAAGCTAGGACAAAAAAAAAATGCGTCGGGCTTGTTGCTCGGTGGAAAAAAAAAGGTAAGCGTTTACCATGACTAAATCAAGCATATGTGTAAATAGTCGATTTGTGTACTTATTGCTCTTAACTGGAATTTTATATCGACTAATAAGTCCGTCCATTAAGTCAACGCCACCCATGTTGCTGTTATATTCGTGGATTACATTGGGGCAATCTATGTCAACGTACTTTTTTTCAGAGCGAACTAAACGTAAAATCTGACCTTTTGAATTCGTTTCATTCAGGAAAGGCTTTGTGCCTGCGTAAGTCGAAGCAAGGCGGTGCGCCTTTTTTTCCTTCCAAACCGTTAAAGACATTTCGACTCCTGATGCAGATCCACAAAATTCAGTGGAATGTCCACGCACTTGTTTCTTGAGGTCGCTATCAGTTGGCAGATTACAGTTTGGAATGCTATTCGAGCGAATAGTTCCCAAAGAAAATATTCCCCGGGATTTGAGATATACAAGAAGTGGCAAAGACGTATAATAATTGTCGAAGTAAATAATCTGGTTTTTGAAATCCGGAACAATTTGTGACAATCGAACGACTACATTTGCTTACGCACCAAGATCTGATGAGCCAGTTTGCACAACGTTGTCTCCTGCGCCGCAATATATCTCAAAATTATAGCAAAAGCCAAAGGAATCACACAAATTGAAGAATTTCACTCCCCATTTATGTGTTTGTCTGGTAAATATTGTCGAAGGAAGGTCTTCGTCTTCGTTGCACACATTTGTTTATCCACACATAAGCGTTGGGTAATCGAAACTGACTGAAACTTTTCATTGAAGTGATTCACGATTGGTCGTATTTCGTATACAGGATCGTGGTCGGCAGAGTCCTTGGAGGGCAACTTACTATTATCATTGAAATGTATCATTCAAAAAGTATTCAAAACACTTAAATGGCGTATCAAGCTTTTTGAGATCTCCTAGGTCAAGCTCAAATCGCACAATATCCTTTTGAAAATCGGTGATTTTGGATCTATATCCAAGACAGATCCTACAAATTCGTATACTGTGCTTTCTTCAGCATGAGCAATATCATGCTCAGCAGGCGCTTTGCGTTTGCGTTTCTGTGCTTGAGATGAATTCGATGCAATCGAAGTTGAGGGTGACAACAATTTCGCCAACGGAGTAGGACTTCCGCTTGAAGTTACACAAATCTCTGAAGCCAGCATAGAATCTGACATATTTACCGCTCTTTCAATCTCTTCTTTATCTTCATCATTGATGGGAAACGCTGCCTCCCAAACATCATCAGCTAAATCGTCCTCCAATTCTCCGTCCGTATCAAAGTTAAAATCCGTCGAATTCAAAAACTTCTCAATCTCCACATCGGAAAGAGCTGATAGCTTATGCATTTGTTGTCGTTCCATGCGTACTAGAGCAATTATTTGGACTTAAATATGTCTTGAGCTGTTCCACTTTCAAACTTACCTTATAACTTTTTTTTCCCGAATTGTCCCAAGACCGCCTCTAGACGGGCTTCCTTATAGAAGGAACAAAATGCTAACGAAACCTTCCTTTTATAAATACGGTAGTATTTTGCGTCCTTGACACTATCAGCAACAAGCTAGTAATTTTTTCTTCCAGTTGCGACTTTAAAAAATGTTTTTAAAAAATTGTTTTAATTTGCACTTTTTGCAAAATAATTACTGCGACGGAATTTCACAAACTTTCAACTTCAAATGACTGAAGCAGCTGACGCAAGCGCTGGCATGAATTGCAAAAGCAACGAAAATAATTTTGGACTTCCCCAAATTGGACAAATGAAAAACGAAGACAAAAAAAGAATGCGGAAAGCGAATAAGAGCTTTGAAGTTTGACCGTCTAGAGGCGGTCTTGTGCACTAGAGTTTTAAGCTATGTGAAAGAAAGAAGCGAAATAAAAAAGTTCAATTTGGTCGAGTAGTGTATTTGGTACTCAGACGTTTGACGAGATGTATGAGAAGCTTAAGGGAATCCTTCAAGTATTGCAAGAGTGCTGATTTACTCTATATCTGGATAAATGTGAGTTGTATAAGCAATCAATTACATTCCTGGGTCATCAGATGCAGGTAAACGGCACCAGTCCTGGAGAGGTTAAGACGAATGCCATTGCATTGTTCCCGACGCCAAGCAATGTTACCGAAGTACGACAGTTTTTTGTTTCAGCGCTTACTTCCGTAAATTTGTTGCCGGATACGCCATTTTATTGGAGCCCTTGCGTGCCCTATTGCGCAAAGACCAAACGTTCAAATGGGAACAGCCACAACAGGATGTTTCGTTTTTCGTTTTGCTTTGAGGGCTTATGTAGCGAACTGTAAAATAGTTTTTTTTTTTTTTATTTGAAATTGCACGCTTAAATATACATATTGTGAGGTCCTATTTCAGGCTGAGGTAAGCATCAGCCTGTCCAGGGTCCACTACAAGACAATTTGTAGATCGCAGGTGACTTTCAGGTTTGGAGCGGCCTTGTCTGACCGAAAGAGAGGTAGGACACCGGAGGAGCGTTTTGTTGCTGACGAAAATACTTCAAGAAAATCGTGGTTTTCGGTTTTGCTGGTGTTTATTATTTTTATTACTTAATTCTTTGTGGGTTTGTTTACGATGGATTACCCGCGGATCTTGTTACTTGGCCTGTGAGCCGGTGGTTGGTTGTTTTTGTTGGTGTTCTTTGCGTTGTTCTTTTATTATTTAATTCTGGTTTGTTTACAATGACTTAACTCGCGGATCTAGTTACTTGGCCTTGGAGCCGCTGGACTGGGTAGTGCAGTGTCTTGTGTTTGGGTGTGTGACTGAGGGACTGCGTAGTACAGTGTCTTGGGTGTGTGACTGAGGGACTGCCTTGTGCAGTGTCTTGGGTGTGTGACTGAGGGACTGCGTAGTACAGTGTCTTGGGTGTGTGACTGAGGGACTGCGTAGTACAGTGTCTTGGGTGTGTGACTGAGGGACTGCCTTGTGCAGTGTCTTGGGTGTGTGACTGAGGGACTGCGTAGTACAGTGTCTTGGGTGTGTGACTGAGGGACTGCCTTGTGCAGTGTCTTGTGTTTGGGCTGATGGACTGCCTACTCTTTCGGCCGATCTTGGCCCTTTTATGCAGCTGGTGATCGCACCTGAGACCCGGAAATAATTAATTCTTGCTGACATTATGATTACGACAATAAATGTGGGGCTAGTAAGTGGGTCAGGGTGGTTTTGCTGATGCTGCATCCCGGAAGGTGCAGTTGGGAATTGGGTATTTGGTTTCAAAAGAAATGAGCTTTTGCTAACTCTGCATCGTGGAAGTTGAGTGGTAAGTCGATAATTTTATGCTGGCTTGACTTATTGTGAAATAAGTCGATTGCGAAATGTCCCCAGAGGTGGGGTGTTGTTGATCGAGAGTTCTTAATTAATTGTGAGCGTTGCTTAAGACTATTTTTATTTCCGGGGTGTTGACACACCGCTATTGGTGGAGAACCGTGGCTAGAGCCATGGTTCTTCTGTTCTGCATATTTTAGTTGAATTTTGGTTGCTGCCTACCGTGGAGGTGTCGCTGTGGGAGTTGTTTGTATCGAGCCATGGGTAGAACCATGGTTCGTTACAATATGTATAAATATATATAAAAACGAGAAGGAACGTGTGAGTCGCTTCTGGGGACGCGACTCTACTTATACCCGTACTCAGTCAGTATACACATATTTGAGCATAGAACATAGATAACAATATAACATAGAGCATAGAATAGAATTTTAGAATTAAAAATAAATTTACATTTTTTTGCTACATCTGATATCTACATCTACAATGTATATTCTACATCTAACATGTACATTGTACATGTTCCATTTAGATTCTACATCTCCTCGGCTAGGGGTTGCTCGCGCACTGAACGCGGCAGAGTGTGCGAGCGAGAAGGAAAATGAGTTGTGTTGTCGTTGGCTGGAGTGGGCAGGGGAAGCAACTGAAAATTAATTTCTTCATTCTTGCTATATTTATGATCCGATCTGATTCAGATTCGGCAGTCTGGTAGATATGGTCATTCTCTACGATACTGCGTTGTAAGTTTTATCGTATCTTTAAAATTGTGCCTGCCACAGATTTTCGTCCTTTGTGGTGGCGGAAGGGGGCGGGGCGAAATTTTGAAATACACTTGTAGGTTTCTCTTCTTTGGTTCCTCTAGCTTTTATAGTCTCTGAGATCCAGGCGTCAAACAAGACGGACAGACGGTCAGACGGACAGACAGACATGGCTGTATCGACTCGGCTATTGATGCTGATCAAGAATATATATACTTTATGGGGTCGGAAACGTTTCCTTCTCTGCGTTACACACATCCACAATTTTAAAGATACGATAAAACTAAAAACGCATTATCGTAGAGAATACCCATATCTACCAGATTGCCGAATCTGAATCAGATCGGATCATAATTATAGCCAGAATGAAGAAATTAATTTTCAGTTACTTTTCCTGGCCCCTCCTGCCAACGACAACGCAACTCATTTTCCTTCTCGCTCGCACACTCTGCCGCGTTCAGTGCGCGAGCAACCCCTAGCGGAGGAGATGTAGAATCTAAATGGAACATGTACAATCTACATGTTAGATGTAGAATATACATTGTATATGTAGATATCAGATGTAGCAAAAAAATGTAAAATGTAAAATTTTTTTTTTTTCTAAAATTCTCAAAAATCATAAGCTCAAAAATGTGTATGCTGACTAAGTACGGGTATAAGTAGAGTCGCGTCCCCAGAAGCGACTCACACGTTCCTTCTCGTTTATATATTGTATTTATTTCACACCCCCACCTACTCTGCCCATTCCTCATTTATATTGCGGCAGGTCAGCTCAGGTCGCTACATCAGCCCTCAAAACAAAACAAAAACGAATTTTGGTTCAAGCGGCCAATAATTGTAGAACACAAGCACAGTATGTGAGCATACGTGGAACACACAAATTTACGTAGCCTGGAAACTCAAAACTAAAACGGTTTCGGAAAATAAGAATTGATAAATATGTTGTCATGTCTGTGTACACACATACATTTGCAAGGCTAAT